ATTTTCTTGGGTACTCTTCCTCTTCGTGCATTTGTTGTCTTGCCACTCATGACTAACTCAGTTGTTCTTTTTGTTGGCGTGCTTTGCCTTTGATAACATTTCTTGGCCCCGTGATACTGGCTTTGTTGTGTGAAATATTCTTGGGCTGTTGCAGATGCGGGACTGGGTGATGTAAGCTGTTGCTGCGCTGCTGATGGAGACGAGCAATCGCCAGAGCCTGTTGGAAGCGTTCCGGAATGAAACACATGCAACACACACTGTTGCCCTGGCCTTTCTCGAAGGTGCGTACTTCTTCGCCGTTGTTCGTGTTATCGCGAAGCTACCAATGTTCCATTTCTTCCCCATTCATCTCGCTTTTTTATGAGCTGTATATATATATCCTTTCCTTCCTCTCTAAATGCAGGCCAAAAAAAAAATTCACGGGGTCGTGCATAGGAACCACGCATACCTGAGAGTTGGCTTCGAGCTCATTAATACCTATTTGGACGGGGAACATCCCCTCCAAATTTCAGTCTTCTAGCTTCTCAGGTTCCCAAGTTAGCAAATTATCCAAAATAAACTTATTTGGGAGATTTAAATGATACTACATCCAGTGTGTTTTTATTAATTATCAAAATTCGATTGTGTTCCCCTCCATGGTAGTGGGCCGGCAACTCCAAGCAAACTGCATATGTGTTAATGGATAGGCGCTATTTTAGCCCCCCTCCCACTCTTCTAATCTCTTTTTCTTTCGTATGCGGCTGTTCCCTGGTTCGGCCTTGGTGGGACGTGATTTTTACTCCAGTTCTGTCTGGATATATATGACTTTGTTCAGTTTTGTTGAAAACTCCGAGGCGAGTGCATTTTGCAAATTTCATAATCCTCATCTGATATCCTGTACATTTACCCTCAGGGATATTCATTGTTTATAATCTCTGAAATTTCTACAACACATACAAAACAATGTGTTGGTGCTGTTTCCAGAGCATGGTTGGGATTACGAGAAGTCACTGAAGGGGTACAACGCTTGGAGAGACAAGGAAGCGGCAGCTCTACGATCGGGGCAGTCCGATGCACAAGGTATTTCGCTGTGTAAATTTAGCTGTGTACTCTGTGAAATTCCTCACGTGCAAATTCAGCATAAAGGGAATTGTACCAGATTTAGCTGATATTCTTTTTTCTCAAATTTTTTTTTTGATATTTCGGCTGAATTCGGTCTCAGGGTGTGCTTTACACGTTGCTAGTTTGATTATCCCAGGGCTCTTTATGATGAAATTTTGGCCATGGGTTTGCTACTCCAACAAGGATTTCCCAATTTTAGAGCGCGGAAAAGACGCAGATTTGACGGATGAAGCTTCCAGCAAGCTGAATGGTGAAGTTGAGGTTACACTACGTGCACCAGCATACGCTTTCGTACTGCCAAATCTGTTCGAGTTAGCAGCGGATTTTCGAAATTTCCTGGAGAAAGATTTGATTGAAACGTCAACACTCAAAAGACTTGAAAATTCCGGCAAGTCAATAAACTGTTTTTTTTATTTTTTCGATATTTTGATCAGCTGTTGTTTCATCGTTCCGTTCGTTGCTGTTGCTGATGCAGTTGGCAGCATCTCCGCCCTGTCCTGCTTTATTTTTTTTCC